ACGAGAAACGACAAAACAGCTATTAAATACTGCTTTAAATTAATTTTAGAGTTACGCTTATTTCTAGATATGTAGTTTACGGAGGTTGATCTAAACGCAGTAATATGGATATTGAACAAAAGACGCAAAACTGCCAGTTACGGGTACCTAACAAGAGTGCTTAAAATCTCGTTTCTCATTAAAATATGAATGCTTTATCAACCAGACAAGTGATAAGAATATAGAAATTAATCGACTAGAAAGATGTTGCCTTGATGATCCACCATATTCTCGGAAAATCATTAAGTATTTTTTAAATTTAACATCAACATGGAAAAGGAAAAGGCAAAAGTTAAGCGATGAGTATTTTTTTTAATCTGGGATAAGGTTAATAGATGTATGTTTCATCAACAATATACTCTCTTATCCTACATATCTTCCCTACCCTGTAATTTCAAATATCCTATATCCGGCCTTCCCCTTGCGCCGTCCACGTAGTGCTTGTGGCTCTGAAACCGCTCCCGTCCAAACCCCCTTATTTCCGTTTTTCGTTTTAATTTGGCCAGCTCCCTTGTCTGCGTTTTATGCCCCATGCCCAGGAATTATTATTTGAGCGTCCCTACCGTGAATTTAACTTACGACCTCTCGCTCTGAAGCCAATCGCCTTAACCACTACACCACACTGTACGCTGCTGAAATAACCCAACTTTTTATTGGGTATTATAACTTATTTGTCCCTCGCTTACTTCTGTCAAACGAGGTAAAAGACGCGATAAAAGACGAGTTGTCAGACAGGGATATTCTTTATCAAACTATGTTTTAATTTCAAGAATATCTGCTGAAGAATATCCTTTGTTATAATTCACCAAATATTTTCGCTCGCGCGCGATTTGTCTAAACGCGTCACGTGACTGAATATTCCCCAGCTAAAACTGGGGAATATCCGAGAATATTCCCCAATTTTCAAAACTGCTCGTGTTGCGAAAAATATTTGAAGGATAATAAACACAATAACCTCCATTTGACTCGGAAAATATGCTCTGATATTTGTCCTTGGACATTATCTGTTCCTCAAAGCCCACAGCTTTCCTCGAGCTACGCTCTCGGAAGACTATTCGCCTCTCGGAACAGATAATGTTCACGTACAAATACCCGAACATATTTTCGCACCAAATGGAGACTATTGTTTATCTATACAACTGCTTTGAAGAAGGTTGTCCAGTACAAAAGCGTGTTTAGCGTGACAGAAGGAAACAGCGCAAACACGTGTATTTATGCTTCACCTTCTTGCACAAACACCGCGAACTTCAACCAAGCAACTATAAACTGTACATGTACTACTACACATAATACCAATCGGAATTGTCGAATACGCTTTTAAGCTTTAGTGGGAGAATCTTTGTGTAAGTCGTATACTGGACGTCGTTGTAAATGAGTTAGTTATGTCGGGTTCTAAGACATTATTGGACTGGTGGAAATAGGTACTGGTTGCGTCCTGATGGGACACCAGTATCTCACGCTACAGCTTAGCAGAAATGACACAACAGCTATTAATAACTGCTTCAATTATATTTCAGAATTCAGCCTATTTCTAAATATGTGATTTATAGCTATAGAGAGTGATTGACACCTCATTTCTCTTTACAATATTAATACATATTGTTATCATTGTATTACTATTATTATTATTGATGTTATTATTATCATTACTATTTTATTATTAATATTGTGAATTTTGCTACAAAATTTTTTTAATGTTCTCATCTATCATAACTCATGAGAAAATGGAAACCTTTTCATAAATCACAGAACTTTGATTAGCATAATGCTTTTAAAGATGCTCTTGTCTATGTAGTTGGTAAGGACAAGGTCGGCACTTCAACTATACACGCTCTCTTCTCTACTTATCCTGACTAGGGTGCCCTGAATAATTTCCCGTCACACTTGTTATCACCGGAAGATGTTCATATGGCACAGGTACGACATACATCAGGGGTAGATATGGAATACTGTGGACTGGTGGGAAAAATGGAACTCTGTTGGTGTCGTATACTGAAGAATATGTCAAGCCTGATGGCAAACTGTTGTGTGACGCATTGTTCTCTACAACATACAGAGGAGACCTCGAATAGGATGATTCTGGCGTGACGGAAGCGAAGGTTTCTGCGTACATGGCCGCTGAAGGCGTGTCATTGCGTGACACATTTCTCTCTACGACACACAGCGGAGATCTCGAATGGGATGATTCTGGCGTGACGGAAGCGTAGGTGTCCGCTTTCATGACTGCTGAAGGCGTGTCATTGCGTAACGAATTTTGCTGCACGACATTCAGGGGATACGTGAACCGAGATGATTCCGGGTTTCTTGCGCAAACGAATGATGAACTAACCTCGTGTGAAGCATTTTGCTCTGTATCGCGCAGGTCAGAACTGGAATGAAATGTTTGCGGTGTGACAAAAGATCTCGAGTGGGTCGCGGGTGATGGCGTGACATTTCCGAAGGAACTCTGCTCCTCAGCAAGCAGTCGTGCACTTTGATTGCGTGACTCTGGAGCTGCGGATTCGGAAGTGCCCCAGTTGTTTACACATCTTCGTTCGCATTCATTTTGTGAGGCTCTTGATTCTTCAGGAAACCAGATTTGAGTTTTGGGCTGGAGAGAAGTAAATTGCGAGGAACGCCGAGCGGAAGGAGGCATGACACCCCCACAAATGCCATCATCGGCGCCACAGGAGTGGGCAGCAGAGTTAAGGTGCCTAGGAAAACTGTAATTTCCTCGCTCCAAGCCATGGTTTGGAGAAGTGGAGATTTTCCATCCGTAGGATGCTGTTCTGCGTCGCCTTGTTACTCCAGGGTTGTATTCGTAAGGAAGTTTGTCAAACTTGTATGTCGATTTTTGTCCTTTCACCTTGAAACAAAATAGCAATAATGACTACTTCAACTTGGAACTTCTAGTAGTATTTTTAATAACGCTTTGCTTAGTTTAAATTAAACAATGTCACAGACGTATATGAAAATGAAAAGTTGGTTGATTGTCTGGAACCAAGAAAGGATAAAAAGTAAGAGAGTTAATTCCTTCCTCCCATACAGGGCGCCATTTTGACATGGTAACCAGTTCCTAGAACATTAAAATAGTTTGACAGTTCAGTGTCACACTGGCTTCAAAGGTACAACATTGAAGTCGCTTCCAGAAGTAACGCACTTTACGTTGGCTCAAAACAGTTTCCAACACTTAAATTTCGATGGGTCGTTATAACCACTCTTTAACACTTGATACTACATTCACGGTATCAAAAAACTGCCTAATCATTGGTGAACACGTTGTTATTATTTTCGTGTCGCAAAAGGTTACCATAGCAACAGTATGACGTGCTAAAAACATCTTTAATTACAGCTTTAGGAACTTATAGTTCAAAAACGGCATGGTGTTTTTTGTTTAGAGTATCAAATTTTAATAAGCATGATAAGACGCAACTTTTGGCAAAGTTTAAAAAAATTATGTACATAGGGTTCAGGGCCACCTTAACGTTTTGAAACTTTAAGGTGGCTCTGAACCCTATGTAATGATAAATGGTAACAACGTGTTCACCAATGATTGGGCAGTTTGTTGATACCATGATTGTTGCACCAAGTGATAAAGAGTGGTTATCATGACCCATCAAAATCTAACTGCTGGAAATTGTTTTGAGCCACCTTAAAATAATTTCCCGGCTCATTAATGGCTACCTTCCTAACAATTCCTTCTTTGTAGTATTGCCTCAGTGCTCGACTTAGCTTGTCGTACGTCATGTTCTTCCGATTATGCTCCAAGCCCCATAACTGGGCCACACATTCTGGCTGTGTAATTTTAAATTCTTTTCTGCCTTTTTTCGTCCAACTTATAAATGGACGGCACTCTTCATCATGCAGGAGTTCAAATAAAAATTCCCAAAGATGCATCTTGTTCTTAAAATGCTTCCTTTGTTTTGGCTGTAGTTGACGTTCTGTAAAACAAACAAACAAAACAAGTCAAAATAATTGATTGCTCATCGTCAGTTCTGCTCTTGAGAGCAGAGAGACACAGAGTGAAGTGTCCCGCACACAACACAGTGATACCGACAACACAGTGATACCGGCCAGGGTCCCAACCCAGACCGCTTGATCCAGAGTGCAACGCTCTAAACATTAGACCAGCGCGCCTTCCCCCAAAGAAACTGCCGACGCTAAATGGAATCGTGAGACTGACAAGTAATCGTGAATTTTGCTCTTAATGCGATTCTGAGTTCCGTCCTTCCGCACATTGTAACAGCTTTATATCAGTTTTTAATCGTCCCACTTTCTGTACTTTTTTCGAAGGCGAGTGCAACAATGACGCAAGTAACGCTAAGAGGAAACGAAAACAACTTCAGCACTTAGCTTGAAACGCGTTAAACCACTTTGGTATACGTAGCGATAGTTTCAAACTGCTCTCAAAGACATGTTTAAGCCCAAGACCGATAGAATGCGACAAGTGCTTTCTCGCACTCGATACATAACGTCACACGAGTGCGCGCACAAATAAGGGAATGGGCAATTCAATTCTAGCGCTAGGTTGTAAAAACCTGTCTTTGATCCAAGATTTCTCGTAAACCTGCCGAACAACCCATGACGAAATTTTTAAAGTTGATTTTTAGGATTGAATCGCGTTCAAATTGAAGGAAACCTGAAAATAGTAGTTCACTAAGCTAAAAAAAACAACAAAGAGATAACAGTAAACCACAAAGGAACAAGGATGGTTAAGGATGGAGAAGACTAAGACGGATTACAAAAGACGAAGTTGAAAAATTTAGGCTCCTTCTACTGATCGTAGTTGGTCCGAATACAGAAGGGCTTCGCTCGTGGTTTGTTCTTCACTGCCGAATGCTTCTCACGCAATAAGTATGGAGAGCTTCTCCAGTGGTTACATGAAATAAAACTTTTCATTACCTCCCTCAGCATTTTGATGAGGTTGCCACGTTACTGTGGCTTGTGGCGGAATCTTGATCCCCACCTTTCCTGAAAAGCTTTCAATTTCAATTCGTGGTTTTAACGGTTTAGTTTCAAATAAACTCGTCTCATTTGCGGCAATTTATCCTAAACAGTTGGTGATCATTCTTTGTTCTACTTTTCTCTTCAGCAGACTGGTGCGAAGCCCAGTGAAGCTCTCGATATATTAATTCCTAACATTTTCTCTTGTTCCTAATGGATGTCTTGCATTAAAAGAACTTTTCATTTTGTCTGCAACTTCCCGTAACTGATACTTGACTAATTTCATTTTTCGTTTGACCAAGCCTGCTACGTTTAACGGCGCGTTGAACTGAACGATAAAATCGGCTCTTGCATGCTGTGGGAGGCAGAAGTAATTCAGTCAACTGAAGTCCGACACTTAAGGGTTAAGATTTAGTTAAGTTAGTCGGATTTTTTCACACTATGTAACACAAATTTGAAAATGAATCTGAAAAGGCTGACAAGGTTGAAACAAATAGCTTTGCATTTTACTTACCTCTCTCTTCCAACTTGGCCGAAAGAGCATGAATTTCAGCGGCCATGATAGCTTTAAACAGCAGAGGACAGGGATAAAGCTCTGAGATGTGATGAGTTCTTGTTGAAGTGTTAACAAACTGAGGACTAATGGTACGTCATGCATGTGTTCAGGAACTCAGTTTTAAATTAAACAGTAACCTTGGCAGATATTGGGCACATTGTTTTGGCCTATCATCCCATCCGTTGTCCTTTTTCTATTTTAGGTGATGATAGAGTTTCCTTGTAAATGACGTTTATCTAGCGTTGCGTGTTGTGCGGTAATTTAAGATAAGCTTATATGAAAAGGAATCAAATTTAACAGACATTCACTCTTTAAAACAACAAAGTTTAAGAAGTATCCTGTTTCTTTGATGCTCTGTCAGTCTGCGGGATAATGGAAATGTTCACACGAAAGAACATATAATTGTTGATTGTTAAATAAACTTATTTCAAGTGGGGCGCACCTTGGATTAAACTGGCCAGTTGTTTCGTTTTAAGTCTGTCATAGTCCAGCATAGTTTCTCTTCCAGGGCTACCCCGTAAGACTTGTTATTTCTGCGTGTACCGTCGTTACTTAATCCTTGTTTTTGTGCCCGTGTTTTTGTTCCATTTTTGCCGTTTGCCGTTTGCCGTAAACGTCATGCTTAACCTCTCTATTTTTACAAACAAAAAATTGTCCTTCCGTTGTCAAGTAGAATAAACTTGTGTCAGAGCAGAGTTCTACTTCCTGGACACTCCCTAAAAAAATGTTTGTTCATCTTATAACAAGTTGTCAAATTCCTGAGATTCAAATCCTGTTGTCCCATTATCGCATGTGCTGCACGCGGCATCCGATACTCTACTAAAAAATAAAATCAATTTAAGATTATCTTAAACATGTCAAATTAAATTAAACTTGCTTTGTATATTTGGTAGCTTTTTTTTATGGTAGATGCTCGTCACTATGCACTAATTGCTTAGAGATATTTATTTTTTTTATTTTTTATCTCTGTTTGAAAGGCCTGGCCAAACATTCACGCCCACTCACAGAACATCAAGGAAATTTCGATTTGCGCTCTTCTGTATAAGATTTCCGTCTTACCGTGACTGCAGAAAAGCTGTTGTAGCATACGAAAAAACATTTGAAAGTCATCCGTCAAGATACCGGATGTTCAAGTCGATGTACTTCCGGGGTATAATGATCGACGTCGACTTCCTGTAGACAGTTCGGAATCTGGCGCCGAGATTCACAAGAAACAAGATGGCGGAAATTCAACTAGACACCCCGGAAAACATTTTTAACAATTTTGTAGTTTTACCTTGTTTTTCAACGCCTGGTTGGATGAAGAAAGCAAGCGTGGGGTTCTGTGTTCGTTGAGGTGTTTCACTGCGTTAAGTTTGAAGCATCATTGAGGCTGTGAGGAGCGAAATGGCGAATGTGAAGAGGTTCAAGAGGTGAGCAAGTTTTTTGTTTGTTTTACACAACTTAAATGTAAACTTAATTTTTGCTTATGCGTAGCCAATAAAAACTAAATGTAAGTTATAATAGTTATAAAGTTACCTAAGTATGTTGTATAAATATCAAGTGTAACTAGTACCAAAGCTTTGACCATTACAGTCCGCTTATGAATATGCATGCATAATTAACACATGCTCGTGGAATGTGGCAATATACGACACATTTTGTAGACACAACTTAATCATACAGTGACACATGACGCTAAAAAACACTTATCAGTGGAGTATGACCTTAAACCAACTAATTAGGCTGGGCCGGGTCGCACTAGAGCGAATTCAAATATTTCCAATTTTTGGCGAGGAAAAAAATTGGCAAAAATTTAGCAAGTTCTAAATTTTGGCAGTGGTCGCATTAGACCAACATGTTTGAACCAAAATGTTACGGATTGAAACATACGTCACAAGATCTGTATATCTCAATTAAGGTATTTTACTAGATTTCATGCAAGAGTTTAACTCTTCGCAGATTTTTCTCCCCGCTGCATGCTCTTGACTCTCCACTCTAGCACTCTCCAGCAACTCGTGATTTTCGGCCCATAATAATTGGACGAGCAGTTTTGATCTTTTTGATATATGGATTGTCAAGAACCCTGAAAGAAAAAGTTTTACTTGGAGCCAAAATTCTCCAATGATTTTTTGTTGTTTGGATTACTGGCTGATTTCAAATACGTTACATGGTCTAGTTAAAACAACAGATATAATTCCATCCATTAAAACAGATCATGCTGCAATTTCCCTGGAACTTGTAAATGATTCTAACGATATCAACTANAATCACAGAACTTTGATTAGCATAATGCTTTTAAAGATGCTCTTGTCTATGTAGTTGGTAAGGACAAGGTCGGCACTTCAACTATACACGCTCTCTTCTCTACTTATCCTGACTAGGGTGCCCTGAATAATTTCCCGTCACACTTGTTATCACCGGAAGATGTTCATATGGCACAGGTACGACATACATCAGGGGTAGATATGGAATACTGTGGACTGGTGGGAAAAATGGAACTCTGTTGGTGTCGTATACTGAAGAATATGTCAAGCCTGATGGCAAACTGTTGTGTGACGCATTGTTCTCTACAACATACAGAGGAGACCTCGAATAGGATGATTCTGGCGTGACGGAAGCGAAGGTTTCTGCGTACATGGCCGCTGAAGGCGTGTCATTGCGTGACACATTTCTCTCTACGACACACAGCGGAGATCTCGAATGGGATGATTCTGGCGTGACGGAAGCGTAGGTGTCCGCTTTCATGACTGCTGAAGGCGTGTCATTGCGTAACGAATTTTGCTGCACGACATTCAGGGGATACGTGAACCGAGATGATTCCGGGTTTCTTGCGCAAACGAATGATGAACTAACCTCGTGTGAAGCATTTTGCTCTGTATCGCGCAGGTCAGAACTGGAATGAAATGTTTGCGGTGTGACAAAAGATCTCGAGTGGGTCGCGGGTGATGGCGTGACATTTCCGAAGGAACTCTGCTCCTCAGCAAGCAGTCGTGCACTTTGATTGCGTGACTCTGGAGCTGCGGATTCGGAAGTGCCCCAGTTGTTTACACATCTTCGTTCGCATTCATTTTGTGAGGCTCTTGATTCTTCAGGAAACCAGATTTGAGTTTTGGGCTGGAGAGAAGTAAATTGCGAGGAACGCCGAGCGGAAGGAGGCATGACACCCCCACAAATGCCATCATCGGCGCCACAGGAGTGGGCAGCAGAGTTAAGGTGCCTAGGAAAACTGTAATTTCCTCGCTCCAAGCCATGGTTTGGAGAAGTGGAGATTTTCCATCCGTAGGATGCTGTTCTGCGTCGCCTTGTTACTCCAGGGTTGTATTCGTAAGGAAGTTTGTCAAACTTGTATGTCGATTTTTGTCCTTTCACCTTGAAACAAAATAGCAATAATGACTACTTCAACTTGGAACTTCTAGTAGTATTTTTAATAACGCTTTGCTTAGTTTAAATTAAACAATGTCACAGACGTATATGAAAATGAAAAGTTGGTTGATTGTCTGGAACCAAGAAAGGATAAAAAGTAAGAGAGTTAATTCCTTCCTCCCATATAGGGCGCCATTTTGACATGGTAACCAGTTCCTAGAACATTAAAATAGTTTGACAGTTCAGTGTCACACTGGCTTCAAAGGTACAACATTGAAGTCGCTTCCAGAAGTAACGCACTTTACGTTGGCTCAAAACAGTTTCCAACACTTAAATTTCGATGGGTCGTTATAACCACTCTTTAACACTTGATACTACATTCACGGTATCAAAAAACTGCCTAATCATTGGTGAACACGTTGTTATTATTTTCGTGTCGCAAAAGGTTACCATAGCAACAGTATGACGTGCTAAAAACATCTTTAATTACAGCTTTAGGAACTTATAGTTCAAAAACGGCATGGTGTTTTTTGTTTAGAGTATCAAATTTTAATAAGCATGATAAGACGCAACTTTTGGCAAAGTTTAAAAAAATTATGTACATAGGGTTCAGGGCCACCTTAACGTTTTGAAACTTTAAGGTGGCTCTGAACCCTATGTAATGATAAATGGTAACAACGTGTTCACCAATGATTGGGCAGTTTGTTGATACCAT